TATAATTTTATTTACAGTCATTAGATTTCAACGGACACCTTTGTATAATATATTTACTTTAAAAAGGACTTTTAATTTTACCGGTTTGGAAAACATACGAATCATTTTATATGGCTATGGGTGTAGTAACATTCAGCCAAAGACTGATTGAAGTTGTTTATATAAGATAAAAACAAATCTATTTTGTTAAGATCGATAAAATAAATCATTTTTTTAGTACAGATCCACAACTATCTTATCATTTTCACTATATGCAAATGTGCTCAGACAATTATTATAGATGGTAAGCAACATCATAAAGCCTATTGCCATACATTTTTCGCCAAATACCTCGATAAACACATTATAATCTGTATATATGTTAGACTATAGGGTATCTATTTATGGGCCTACGTTGCCTGATTATAAATAAATAAAATAATAAGGTGTGATACACTAAAAATCTTAAATATGGTTACATTAAAAACATAACAAAAATAACGAAGCTACTGAATATATGGCTATATAACCTAAATCTCTTAGCTTTCTTTGGTTATCGAGAGTTTAAAAAGTCTCTCTAATCTGTGGCTCATTCACAATCATCACACAGTTTCTGTCACAGAGTACCTTATTATAACCGGAAATGCCTAGATGACACCTGATTTTAAAAAATACTCTTATGCATTAATTTTAAAAGCAGGCAACTATCTGTTAATCTACATGCTCTATATACCTGAATCTAATCCATAATTTCGGTACTTGGCTTGATTTCCCTAGTTTACTATATAACTTATTTGTTTTTTATTATTTTAATATGTTCAGTGTATATGGTTTATAGAAGTTCTCAGGGGTGTCCGTCAATAATATTCGTTTCTACAGTAATTTATATATAATTTCGAATCTAGGAAACAATATTTCATGATTATTGCTGAAGCTGAGCAATCTCCTTTAAATAAATGTGTGTTTTTGGCAAAATCGGTTGAATATCTGGGGCATATAATTGATAGTGCAGTTATACATCCCACTAAAGAAAAAGTTAAAGCAATCCAAAATTCTCCTCCTCCTAAAAATGTAACACAGTTAAAATCTTATTTAGGTTTATTAAATTTCTATTGTAAATTTTTACCAAATTTATCTACAGTGTTAGCACCTTTACACAAGTTGTTGAGAAAAGATGTGTCATTTAACTGGAATACTGAATGTGAGTGTGCATTTCAAGGGAGTAAAAATTTATTATTAAATAATCAGTTGTTAACACACTATGATCCTAATAAGCCAATAACAGTAGCATGTGATGCATCTTCCTATGGAGTGGGAGCTGTTTTAAGTCACACTATTGATGGTGTTCAAAGACCTGTTATGTTTGCTTCTACAACATTAAGCGATTCTCAGCAAAAGTACTCACAAATAGAGAGGGAAGCTTATGCAATTATATTTGCAATAGAAAAAATTCATAAATATCTATATGGAGTTCGCTTTGTTTTAGAAACAGATCATCAACTTTAAGAAATTATTTTGGGTCCTAATAGAAGTATACCAGTTGTAGCAGCTGCAAGAATTCAAAGGTGGGCTGTCATATTGTCAGCTTATAGTTATGAGATTAAGTATATAAAGGGTTGTTCAATAGGGCATGCAGATGCACTTTCGAGATTACCATTGCAAAGAAAAGAAGAGATAGATGAAAATATAAACTATTTTAATATTGACAATAAGTTACCTTTAGACTCGAAAGATATATCAGAAGCTACATTAAAAGATCCAGTTCTATGTAAGGTTTTAGATTATACAATAAGAGGATGGCCACAATATAACATCTCACCTGAATTCAAGCCATATTATCATAAGAGGTCTTTAATGTCCGTGGAAAAGAGCTGCTTGTTATATGGTCTAAGAGTGGTTATACCATCATCATTGCGTTCTAATATTTTGAAACTTTTACATGAACAACATACAGGTATTGTTAGAACAAAACTTATTGTAAGAAGTACATGTTATTGGCCAGGGATAGATCAGGATCTTGAAAATTTAATTATTCAATGTACAATTATGTCAGTCTACTAGAAATGTGCCTCATGATATGGGTCTCCAACCATGGCCAAAGGCACCTCACAATTGGTATAGGGTGCATATAATTTTTTTTATAAGAATAATGTTACCTTTTTATTGATAATAGACAGTTATAGCAAATGGTTGGATATTCATATCATGAAGGAAGGTACTTGTGCTGTTAAAACCATAGATAAGCTCAGGAGCTCTTTTGCTATATTTGGGTTACCAGTTGTGTTGGTTTCAGATAATGGTCCGCCTTTCAACTCTAGGGAATTTCAATTATTTTGTACAAGCAATGATATAAAACATCTGTATTCACCACCCTATCATCCCCAATCAAATGGGCAAGCAGAAAGGGCAGTGCAGACTACAAAAAGTAGTTTAACTAAACAATTGCTTGAATCACCGAACAACATGAGTTTATCAAAGTAGATGGTTAGATAATTTTTTATTTAATTATAGAAATACTCCTTCAACAGTAACTGGAAAATCTCCAGCTGAAATGATGTTTAAACTTAAGCCTAGAACACTGATTGATCTCATTAAGCCAAATTCTTGCATAACTCATGCTCCTCAAAATAATTCTTAAATTAGTCAGCAGGTCAATCAACCTTTCAAATATTTTGAAGAGGGTCAAAAAGTTTGGGTTAGAAATTATAAAAATAATATTGTTAAGTGGGTTCCAGGTCAAATTGTTAAACAATATGGCAAAGTTGCTTATTTGGTAAACTTAGAAGAAGGAATTAAGACAATACATGTAGTTTCCTACATGTATTGTCTTAATAGTATCAGGAAAAGATATATTGTGCTAGAATCTATCAACAAAGAATGTAAAGAGCAAATTGATGAAAATACAGAAAATAATGACAATAATTACACAAGTACCGAAATAATAGATGTTCAGAACGAGTTAGTAAATGAAAAACAAACCGAAAATTCTACCAATATTACCGTTTCAGGAGATGGACCAGTACCGTTAAGGAGAAGTAAAAGACAAATAAGACCACCAGATAGGTTGGACCTTTAATATACTAAATCTATTATTATAATATTGTGATTGCATTTTTAAATTTAGATAGATTTATTTTATTAATTGTGAAAAGTTGTTTTTTGTTAAGAGAGGGAGAAAATGTTATATTTTTAGTCTATCTATTGATTATTGATCTGTGTCTATGGCTAAGTAAGTAAGTTGGTCTATGGATATGTCTCGGGATGGTAGAATGGAAAATGGCCGTTGAGTTGGGCTTAGCGCCAAATGTGATGATTATCGAATTAAGAGATTGTAACTTAAATAGTGTGAGTATTAAACCATTGTGAAATTAGTCTGGAAGTTTTAATTAGAGACACAAAAGTTATTAATAACAAAGAAATTAAGTCCATTAAAGTAAAAAATATAGCATTATAATCGCGAAGTCGCCCCAGATACTGTTTTTATTTTTGTTGTAAGCCTTCTGAGTAAAAATTGTAGGATTCCTTGGGCATCCTTTAAAAACATTTGAAAATGACCCTAATAATGATTTTTGAAGCCCTACCTCGAATTCAGAATCTAAAGAAAGACCCATTGTTGTTGAGTAATTATTTAAGGTATGTGACCTTCCTCTTAACCTGGTTACCCTTATCTATTGAAAGATATTTGCAATAATATAATTGTTTCATTGATAAAGTACACAAATGAGGTGACCCAACGCAAAAAGTTACAGGAAAAGTAAACAACTGATCAAGATTATAAACCTTATCGATTGATTTTCAGCAAGGGTTGAACTTAGTTTTATTGAATATATTTTTGTCACTTATACTCGGTAAAAAATTGTATGATTCTTTTGTCTGATACAATTTTTCATGGTACATCCAAAAATGTAAAATAATGACAAGATGATAACACAAAATTATCTGCCAGGTTACAGTGCTAGGAGGTTTTCTTTTTCAAATAAATTTATCTGCTCTAAAGCCGATTTTGAACAGTTGTTTCGATAGAATCCTCATATCATTTCGAGTGACACTGGTTCAAATACAAAATTATATGGCGATGGTACATCGCCGGACCAAAAATCGTATCTAGTAAAATTCAGGGTTACATTATATGTAGATGCATTATATGTTATGACTTTTCTTTTATGTAGTAATTAGGCATCTGAAACATAGTATAATTTAATAAGAATAAATAAATAAATAAATAATAAATATTTCCAACACTCACACCAATTAGCCTAGCCCCAAAGTAAGCACTGTAAGGCTTGTGTTAAGGGATACTAGGGTAACGGATAGAATACATATACTGTACATATATAAGTATATTTTTATAGAAATACATATTTAACATCCATGACTGGAGTACAAATGTTCGTATTCATCACACAAACATCTGCCCCCACCGGGATTGTACCCGGGACCTCTCGAGTTGGCGACACCATGAAACCCGGCGTACAAACCACTCGGCCACGGAGGTCGTCAAATTAACCTAATGTATTTAAGAAACATCACTCTTTTCATCAGCGACCTCATACGAGTATTTTTGCGGTCCAGTGTATTTTATGTATGTACTCGAGCAAACAACGCCAATGCTGTCTCAAAAGTAATGATTCATAACTTGAAATAATTTTTCCTGTTGCTATTTAAGGAACAGACATAAATAATTCAATCAGTTACTCGTACTGTTAAAGAAATATACAAGTATAAATATTTTTAATATCGTAATTAATATTGATAAACCTAATTAAACAATTGAGTTGACATTTTACAATTCGGTTTAAATTTTTAGACAATCTGAACAAAATTATTAGTTTCGATGACCCTAACGCAGGGTTGAAAAAATAGACGACCGTGTAGGTGATTCATATTGGTATTATCTACTGCTTCGGTGAAGTCCCTCTATAAACAGTTTGTGTATATAAAGACAATTAAGGAGCGTTAATGTATCAGTTCGGAGCTACCGAAACTACTAGCAATGTTGTCTAAAGTGGTGATCGCTTTAGTGTGCTTGAGTGTGGTGAACGCAGCCGCATTCACTATCAACGCTTATGAAGATGATTATGGTGAGGAGAAAAACATTCGTATCTTTCGTTTTTTAAAATAAGTAAATAAAACTGGATTACAATAAAAAGTTTAGTTGTTTGACGACCTACATGGTCGAGTGGTTTGTACGCCAGGTTTCAAGGTGTCGCCTACTCAAGCGGTCCCGGGTTGGAATCCCGGTAGGGGCAAATGTTTGTGTGATGAATACGAGCATTTGTACTCTAGTCATTGATGTTATATTATATTTCTATATAAATATACTTATATATAAATATACTTCTATATGTAACAGTATATTCTATCCGTTACCTTGGTAACCCATATCACAAGCCTATAGTGCTAACTTTGAGGCTAGGCTAATTGGTGTGAGTATTGGCAATATTGTTTTTTTATATTTTTAGTTTAATTTAAATCTGGATTAGGTATCTACACTCGAGAGCAATAATAAATAAATAAATATTTCCAATACTCACACCAATTAGCCTAGCCCCAAAGCAAGCACTATAAGGCTTGTGTTATGGGATACTAGGGTAACAGATAGAATATATATACTATACTTATATATGTATATTTATATAGATATACATATTAAACATCCATGACTGGAGTACAAATGCTCGTATTCATCACACAAACATCTGCCCCCACCGGGATTCGAACCCGGGACCTCTCGAGTCGGCGACACCATTAAACCCGGCGTACAAACCACTCGGCCACGGAGGTCGTCAATTAATCCGGGACACACAAAAAATCTCGCAAACTAAGAATCTAGCATTCTTAATGAAATAAATTGTGTTTAATAGACAATTAAATACTATACAGAAAACAAAGAAGTGGCAGACACAGCAGCACCCAAGAGTTGCAACTTGAACTGGTGCAATCAAACCTGTCGTCGGATGGGGTACCGTAGTGGAGTATGTGTCAACGGGCGCTGCAAGTGTGACTTGTTGTATTCTGAAAACCCCTTACTGGCACCATCCGAAACCGATTCTGGTAAGAAAAATAGCCCTTGCTGAGTTTCTTGCCGGTTCTTCTCAGTACAAGGTCTCCCGCCGTAGATTTACGAACCGATGGCGTAGCGTTTGACTTTCACAAGAGCTTGTAACAGCCTAGACTGAATAAATGAGTTTGAGTTTGAGATTGCCAAGAAGATAAAATTAAGGTTAAAAACCTTTTTAAAAACATGCTTTTATTCAAATGCGCTAAAAAGAAAATAAAATTATCCGCCATTTTGGGTGTTCCGCGATCTTGGATTTAGAAAGACGTCACACAATTAACTTTGCATTGTCAAACAAACTGAACGCGTTTAAAAAATTTCAACTAAATTAGTTAAAGATATCTGTTTCTAAATAGATTTTCAAATTTTAGAAGTCCGCCATATTGGATTGAGAGTGACGTCACATTTTCTTCGAGTTACTCTCAGCAAGCCCTTTAATTTGATACCCATATTGTAGGAATGCATTAAAAATGATTGGTCCGCCATTTTGGGTATGTCGCCATATTGGATTTAGAATGACGTCACACTGTTAATCATGCATTGTCATCCAAACTGAACGAGCATACCAAATTTCAGCTTAATCGGTAGAGGGCAAGTGCTTTAAAATTGAGTTTTAAGATTTGACCGTAACAAACATACATAGCATGTTAAATAAAAGCTTGTAAATAAAAATAAACTATAACCCTTCCATTAATAAACACAGGATTGAAAAAATGGACGGCCGTGTAGGTTATTCATATTGGTATTATCCACTGTTTCGGGTGAAGTCTCTCTATGAAGAGTTTTTGTTTAAAAAGGAAATTAAAGTGCGTTACTGTATCAGTTCGGAGTTAACGAAACTACTAGCAATGTTGTCTAAAGTGGTGATCGCTTTAGTGTGCTTGAGTGTGGTGAAAGCAGCCGTATTCACCATCAACGCTTATGAAGATGATTATGGTGAGGAGAAAATACGTTTGTATCTTTTGTTTTCAAAAATAAGTCAATAAAACTTAAAGAAAATATAACTAGAAAAAATTCCACGCGGACCATGCAGCAGACGGGATTCGAATCCGCACCCTTCGCAATCCGGGCGAATGCCCGATTTAGATTTAAACATCAAGCAGTTACATGCTTAAAAAACAAATAATAATAACTATAATTGCTATTCCTTCTTTCAAATGTTCAATACTTGTGAAAGTATTCATTTGACATATGTTACTTACAATGCGAAGAAATGGCGCTGCTTTGCAGCTTAAGAATGGCTAGAGGAATTTCGACGCGGCCGTCAGGGCCGCAGTAGCATAATTGGTCAATGAATTCGCCCGGATTGCGAATTGTACGCGTTCGAGTTCCGTCTGCTGCATGGTCCGCGTGGAATTTTTTCTAGTTATATTTAAGCAGTTACATACTTAAAAAAAATTAACTCTTCATCTTAACTAGCAATAAAACTTGATTACAACAAAAGGTTTTCTTATTTGACGACCGCCCTGGCCGAGTAGTTTGTCGCCAAGTTTCAAGGTGTCACCTACTCGAGAGGTCCTGGGTTGGAATCCCGGTGAGGACAGAGTTTGAGTGATGAATACAAGCATTTGTACTCTAGTCATGGAATTTTAATATATATTTCTATATAAATATACTTATATATGCAACAGTATATATTCTATATAATACTAGTTGACCCAGCGAACTTCGTACCGCCATAAAAAATAGGGGTTGGTGGTAGAAAGTTGAAAATTTAGGGATGTATGTAGTTTTGTATGATGTATCATAAAAAAATTTAAAAAATAATATCTAAAATTGAAAAAAAAAATTTAGGTGTGGATTACCCTTAATATTTAGGGGGATGAAAAATAGATGTTGTCCGATTCTCAGATCTACCCAATATGCACACAAAATTTCATGAGAATCGGGAAAGCCGTTTCGGAGGAGTTTAACCACAAACACCGCGACACGAGAATTTATATATTAGACTAGCTGACCCGGCGAACTTCGTACCGCCTTAGCGTAGCTTTGATGCACTACTTTATTTTGTATAGCTGACCTATCTTATGTATGAGTACCTATTCAATTTGAACTGGAATCTATAATATCCTCCATATAAAAATGAATCCTTATTTCCCTGGTCTCGCCATACCTGAGGACTTTACTAATTTTTATTAAATAAAAAACAACATATATATTTTCATAATAGTGTTTATTCCATAGGGTTCAATTTCGCTATTGAACAACTTTGCATTTTGAAGTAAACACTGAGCTCAACACCACGCGCGCTCTAGAAAGCAACTAATAGCCTCTATACCCTTCACTGCTTCTCTCTATTCTAATGCTTTTTGATAAACTATACGGTACGAAGTTCGCCGGGTCAGCTAGTCCATAACCTCCTTACTAGGGTAACGGATAGAATACATATACTGTACATATATAAGTATATTTTTATAGAAATACATATTTAACATCCATGACTGGAGTACAAATGTTCGTATTCATCACACAAACATCTGCCCCCACCGGGATTGCACCCGGGACCTCTCGAGTTGGCGACACCATGAAACCCGGCGTACAAACCACTCGGCCACGGAGGTCGTCAAATAACTAGAAAAAATTCCACGCGGACCATGCAGCAGACGGGATTCGAATCTGCACCCTTCGCAATCCGGGCGAATGCCCGATTTAGATTTAAACATCAAGCAGTTACATGCTTAAAAAACAAATAATAATAACTATAATTGCTATTCCTTCTTTCAAATGTTCAATACTTGTGAAAGTATTCATTTGACATATGTTACTTACAATGCGAAGAAATGGCGCTGCTTTGCAGCTTAAGAATGGCTAGAGGAATTTCGACGCGGCCGTCAGGGCCGCAGTAGCATAATTGGTCAATGAATTCGCCCGGATTGCGAATTGTACGCGTTCGAGTTCCGTCTGCTGCATGGTCCGCGTGGAATTTTTTCTAGTTATATTTAAGCAGTTACATACTTAAAAAAAATTAACTCTTCATCTTAACTAGCAATAAAACTTGATTACAACAAAAGGTTTTCTTATTTGACGACCGCCCTGGCCGAGTAGTTTGTCGCCAAGTTTCAAGGTGTCACCTACTCGAGAGGTCCTGGGTTGGAATCCCGGTGAGGACAGAGTTTGAGTGATGAATACAAGCATTTGTACTCTAGTCATGGAATTTTAATATATATTTCTATATAAATATACTTATATATGCAACAGTATATATTCTATATAATACTAGTTGACCCAGCGAACTTCGTACCGCCATAAAAAATAGGGGTTGGTGGTAGAAAGTTGAAAATTTAGGGATGTATGTAGTTTTGTATGATGTATCATAAAAAAATTTAAAAAATAATATCTAAAATTGAAAAAAAAAATTTAGGTGTGGATTACCCTTAATATTTAGGGGGATGAAAAATAGATGTTGTCCGATTCTCAGATCTACCCAATATGCACACAAAATTTCATGAGAATCGGGAAAGCCGTTTCGGAGGAGTTTAACCACAAACACCGCGACACGAGAATTTATATATTAGACTAGCTGACCCGGCGAACTTCGTACCGCCTTAGCGTAGCTTTGATGCACTACTTTATTTTGTATAGCTGACCTATCTTATGTATGAGTACCTATTCAATTTGAACTGGAATCTATAATATCCTCCATATAAAAATGAATCCTTATTTCCCTGGTCTCGCCATACCTGAGGACTTTACTAATTTTTATTAAATAAAAAACAACATATATATTTTCATAATAGTGTTTATTCCATAGGGTTCAATTTCGCTATTGAACAACTTTGCATTTTGAAGTAAACACTGAGCTCAACACCACGCGCGCTCTAGAAAGCAACTAATAGCCTCTATACCCTTCACTGCTTCTCTCTATTCTAATGCTTTTTGATAAACTATACGGTACGAAGTTCGCCGGGTCAGCTAGTCCATAACCGCGCTAACAATAATTTTATTAAGTTTTTGATAAAGTTCGTTTTGTTTTAAAGACTAAGAAGTTTTTTGTTTGCTAATAAGTGTTTGTTCCTGTCACAGATTACCACAGATTTTTTTGTTTTAAATTATGACGTTGACATTTGTCAGCGCGGTTATCGATGTGGTGTCACAGATTACCACAGATTTTTTGTTTTAAATTGAATGACGTTGACATTCGTAACGTTATATTTTTCAATCTTTCTGAGAGATTTTCTTTATATTTTTTTCGGTAAGAACCTTGTACAGAGTATTAGAAAACTACAAAAAAAGATCAGCCAAATCGGTCAAGCCGTTTTCATGTTATGTCGTGACAATGGAAAACGGGTTTCATTTTTATCATTCTATCCGTTACCCTAGTAACCCATATCACAAGCCTATATTGCTAACTTTGAGGCTTGGCAAATTGGTGTGAGTATTGGAATTATTTATTTATTATATTTTTAGTTCAATTCAAATCTGGATTAGTACCCTTAGTACGAGTTTTACAATTACGAAAACTGTGATAGTTTTCGTGAGCTCGCACTCGTACTAAGGGTACTGATTTTATTGTTTTGGTTTCAATACAAATAAACAGTGTTTAAATTCCATCATTAAATCATTTGCGTCTTTTCAAATTGTACGTATATTTGGTTACTTTTCACCAAAATGGACATAGAAACATAATTTAGAATTAAGAAAACTATGATAGTTTTCGTGAGCTCAAACTCGTACTAAGGGTATAGGTATCTACACTCGAGAGCAATGAATCCGAGTCCCACAAAGAATCCTAAAAATCTCGCAAACTAAGAAAGCTAGCTTTATAAAATAAATTGTGTTTAATAGACAAGTGCATACTCCTTTAACTAAAAACTACGTAAAGTAAAATCTGGCTTACCTCGACATAAAACAAAAATAAGAAATGTGACATTTTTGAACAACATGACGATTTTCTAGAATTTTAATACTTCGTATTGCCTCCTCGTGCTTCTTCAGGTGTAAGCGACATGACTACTACTACTACGAAATGACTACTACGTGCAATAAATTACATTCCATTATTACAATTTGAAAACACCTGTAAAATTGAACATTTCCTTATCCACAGCTAAAAGCAGTCTCATCGAAGATCTTTCTCTGGATACATCCGTTCGCAACTGTGTAAACTCGCAATGCAATACTATTTGCCGCTTTCTCGGATTTGCGCGCGGTGTTTGCATCAGCGCCAATGTATGTGAGTGCTACAGACAATTTGCTTTCGATGGCATTAATGATGTCGAACCAGCTTCCCTCGACGATGTTAATATGGGTAAAAATAATTTTGTATACTATTGTACACTATATTGTAGTTAATCGAGAAAGTATTTATTAATACTTTCTCGATTAACTACAATTATATTTATTCAAAATCAGATGTATGTATATACAATATATATTTATTATTCACAGCTAAAAGCAACCCTGTCGAAGATATTTCTCTAGATACATCTCCTCGCAGCTGCGTAAACTCACAATGCAATGCTTTCTGCCGCCGTCGCGGATACGCGCGCGGTGTCTGCGCTGGCCCCAATGTATGTCGGTGCTATAGACGATTTGCTTTCGATGGCATTAATGATGTCGAACCAGCTTCCCTCGACGATGTTACTCTGGGTAAAACTAATTTTGTATACAATAAATACTTTCTCGATTAATTACAATTATATTTATTCAGAATCAGATGTACGTATATGCAATATATATTTATTATTCACAGTTAAAAGCAACCCTGTCGAAGATATTTCTCTGGATACATCCCTCCGCAGCTGCGTAAACTCACAATGCCATGCTTTCTGCCGCCGTCGCGGATTCGCGCGCGGTGTCTGCATCGGCCCCAATGTATGTCGGTGCTATAGACGATTTGCTTTCGATAGCATTAATGACGTCGAACCAGCTTTCCTCGACGATGTTACTCTTGGTAAAAAATATATAATTTTGTATACAATAAATATTTGCTCGATTAATTACAATTATATTTATTCAAAATCAGATGTACATATAATATATATTTTTTATTCACAGCCAAAATCAACCCTGTCGAAGATATTTCTCTAGAAAAATCTCTTCGTAGCTGCGTAAACTCGCAATGCAATGCTCTCTGCCGCCGTCTAGGATTCGCGCGCGGTGTTTGCATCAGCGCCAATGTATGTCGATGCTCTGGGCGCTTGACTTCGGATGCTACCTTCGATGAAATTACTCTAGGTTCGACTCTTTAATCTAAATTACTATAACGAATTGCTTTTAATTTTTTTAAGAGTGAAAAACTATAAGGCTCGCTTCATGTTGATTCACAGACATTAACAACCCTTCTGAAGATGTGTCACTGGAGACTTCCCTCCGTAGCTGCGTAAACTCGCAATGCAATGCTGTCTGCCGCCGTCTCGGATTCGCGCGCGGTGTTTGCGTCAGCGCGAATGTGTGTCGGTGCTCTGGACGATTAGCTTTTGACGCTACTCTCAATGAAGTCGAACCGGGTACCTGAAATCATATGATATTGTAATGAATCAATTACAGATAGAAGAGTCTTTTTCTTAACTATCATCAGAAAGCTTATCAACGTGTGGACAAATTTGTTTGTAGAATAATTTCACCAAAAAAAGTTCCTCATAGATTCTAATAAAATTTTAGAAGATTCTAGTAAGTATGATAATTTCATCATCATCAGCCTATTAATTTCCCCACTGTTGGGACACAGGCCTTCCATATGGATGGAATAGGGAGACTGGTCGACAACCCACCACGTGAGCCCAGTGCAGATTGATGGGTGCTATCGACTGCAGATGTAGCCGGGACTCACAGCTTAACATGCCTTCCGAAGCATGGAAGAACTCGAGATAATAAGTTTTTGGTCACCCATTCAATGACCGACTGTTACGAAATTTGCTTATCTTTTACGATAGCATGCCGAATGCGCTAAGCGCGCACCATCGAGCTCCTGTTATCGATAATTTATCAGAGAACAAATAGAAGTCTCGTAAATAAATTGCAATAAAAATATAATTGTAGATGCCATCGAAGTCAACGAAATCAATGCAGATAGTGAACCGACTGCCGACCATGAGAGCAACGACATTCCTCAAAATAACGAATGTAAGCAGATTTGAATTTCGTCTTAAAATCATATATATATTTTTTTAAGATGGTGGTTTTATAAACTTTCTGTCTTACTCACAGTATTTTTTTTTTTCCGATTTCTTGCTTTCTATTTGACATATTGAATGTTTAATCATCTTGCCCATGACAATTTCATTTAAATAACATACTAAATATTATTATTTACAGAGTGAGGTCATGATCTTGGTCTGAAGGCCAAGTCAACGTAAAATTCGCATTTGCCCATGAACGAAAGAAAAATGGTTGACCTACAGAATAGTTAAGTTTTAGTAGTAGTTTAATTATTGTTTAAATATAACTGATACCTAAAGTATCAGTATGAACACTAAAGTAGTGTAAATATATAACATTATATAGCCATAAAGAACAGTATTAATAAAGTTTTTTTATATGTATCATGTGTTTACCTGAGAATCTCCAACAAAATTCATATTTTGTATTAAAAAATAAATACAGTCGAAGTAGTAGAAGAAAAAAGGGGTATTAGAAAATTTACATAAGTGAAAAATGAACCTCCCAAAAACAAAACCACTAAATGGTTTGACTAATTACAGTAACTTTTAATTGCCATATATGAAAACCTGGAAAACATGTAACATGTAACTTCATCTAGCAGGGCAAAAGAGATCTGTGGAAACATAAATAAAAGCAATTAGCGTGATTGCTACAGATCACGCGAAACTTCTAGTCTAGTAGTGTATAAAAGGGGTATTAGAAAATTTACAATGAAAAATGAACCACCCAATTACAAAACCACTAAATGGTTTGACTAATTACAGTAACTTTTAATTGGCATAGATGAAAACCTGGAAAACATGTAACATGTTACTTCATGTAGCAGGGTAAAAGAGATCTGTGGAAACATAAATAAAAGAAATTAGCGTGATTGCTACATATCGCGCCAAACTTCTAGTCCGCTCTGAAGTTGCTTCGAGCCGGTGTACAGTCGTATACAGATCGCGCCAATCTTCCATTCCACTCTGAAATTGATCTGCCCATGTGTACAGTGCAAAAGACAGGTATATAGTTAGTTGGACGAAGATTGTGCATGACTTGCGCGAAGCAACTTCAGAGCCATACCACGGTAATAATATATTACCGTGGCCATACGTACCTTGTTTTTTAATCCCATGGCGCTTTATCGTAATTTTAGTGACCATGATAGTCTAAAATAATACAAAAGATGCCTGGAAACTTTTGTCCATAATCTGTAGGCAGACTTACCTTAACGTAATTGCTACTAGAAGGCTCTTCTTCTCAGTGCTAGACAGGTCACAGCAATGGCTATATCTGAAATAAGAAGCTAAGTCTTATATTAATGATACTGAAAAGGATAAAGGTGTAATTAAAATCCAGTTGAAAAAAAAAGTAAATGAATGTACATATAATTTAGGTAATATTTGGCAACAGTCTACTATATTTCAATTCATCAGCAGCCCGCATCCATTCCCTGAAGTTATTATCTATCTATGTGGAGGGATTACCGACAAGTAGTAAATTGAAGCCAAAAAAATATGACCTTGACGTCATCACTAATGGTTCCTGTCTCTCTCTATAGAAACAGACAAGTAACAAAATAAGGTGACCATTCTGGAGCTTGTGTACAGGACAAAGTACGCAAAAATGATATTCATATTGACACTGTATAATAACGAGTCACTTATTCCCATATTTTTTTTTATTAAATTGCAATTGGATAGACAGATCAGTTATTAAATGTTTACATTTCCGCCTTATACGCCTTTCATCGACATCCGTTCGCCATTTATGAGTGATTTATGACAAACATAAAATTTATCATTTTATTTGTCATAAATCACGGAAAAACATCATCATCATCACACATATACATACATATTTCATAAAAAATGTAGGGTACAATGAATGCATTTGTAATACTGCTTACGTAACTATTCTAATCTATTTAAATAAGTGTGTCGCTTAGCAAAATTAAATTATTTAAGTTCGAAGATTAAGAATATAAATTAGGGCAAACTAGATGCAACGTCACGTGAGCCCAATACATATCGGTGAGTGCTATTGAATGCAAATTAAAATTACGGACGTTAAGCCATTAAAATGAATGATTTTGGTCACTTATCTTATATTAATGATACTTACTGATATTAACACCAGCAAGCAAGTAACCTCCGCCTTACGGAAGACCACAATGAAATAACACTATTTAATGCTGGTATTGTGTTGCTCACGCTAAGACGAGAGACTCCACGGAGTAGCGGATGGGATCAGGATTGGTATCATGCGAGTAGTATCTGCTTCCGTAAGCGTCTATAGGCTAAGTTAGTGTAGGCCACAGAACACAGAAAGAGGTCAGAAGGGCCTTGTGGGCGGAGCAGACGCGCCACACTTATGTGTGAGCAAATAACTTGACCAAAACTTGGTTCTGATTGCGTCGTTGCGGTCGGCCATTGCCGAGTCTTGCAAAGTTGCTTAACTTTTGCAGCCATATGCCAAACTAACTAGCTCCTGTGCCGCCAAGTTCAATATATTTGGAATATATTTGCTATATAAATAGACAAGTCAAATAAAAAATAAAACAAATAATATCAATTTCAACTTTAATTTATTTTTCTAGTTAATTCAAGAACAAAATCCACAGCAAATTATTATATTAATATAGGTATTACAATAATTAAGTCTTAAAAGGTCTGGAAACTCTCTGGATCATAGTTGTTTGGAGTAAAATGCAAACTGCAAATCTTGGCTGTTGGATAAAAAATACCCATTTGATAAAATAACTAGGCTGGCCATAAAAATTGTTACATTAAACACTTTTCTTTTTTTCAACTTTTTAATTATTTTGAATTTGGAACACGTATATTATTTTAAAAACTTCTTTCGATTTTGCGCCATTTCACACATTTTTTCGTGTTCATTATCAAATTATAGTATGGAATGGGGTGTTAAAGAAAATAGCATTGCAGTGATCGCCTTGCGCAAAGTGGGTATGGAGCTGTCGGTCATATTCTAGACACTTCAAAAGCTTGGTGTCAGCCGTATGTTTGTATATCGTACTATCAACAGATACAACAACACCTCGTCTGTCGAAGACCAGGAAAGATCAAGGCGTCCGCGTGCTGTTAAAATTACAAAGGCTGTTAATGCTGTTAAAGCCAGAATTCGTCGAAACCCCATTAGGACGCAAAAAAAACTTATCGCGAGAAATGAAGATCCCCGCTAGTAGTCTGCGGCGTATTATAAAAGAAGGCCTGAAGCACGGTACATATCGTCAATATACAGCATATACCCAAAATCAATTTTTACAATTAAAGAGAGTGGATTGATCAAAACGCCTTCTGTCGATACGCAGGTTAAAAGCGCAGAAATATTCTCTTTACCGATGAAAACGAATTCACGACTGAAGAACACTACAATAAGCAAAAAGATAAGTGTACGCTCACAGTTCTAAAGAAGCTGCTCAAGTGGTCGGAAAGGTACAGCGTGGTCATCATCCTGCGTCAGTGCTGGTTTGGTGAGGCGTATCTTATCAAGGAGTCACAAAACTACATTTTTGTGAAAAAGGTGTGCAAACTTCAGCCAAAGTGTATCAAGATTCTTCTCTGTAGTCTTGGATCATATTTTCACAACACCTCTCAGCAATACACTTTCTCAAAATATACCGTAGACTTTCCCGTAGGATTCTGCACCTTTTTTTTGTGACGCAGGCAAAACCTCTGTTTACAGACGACGGCGCCTTTAAAAGGCACACCGCCGAACGGACCTCATACCTGGCTCCCGCAAGCCTTACGAGCCCCCGCAGTGGCTGCCCACTGAGGACCCCGTAACTCTTACGGGCGCTTTACGGCGTAATATCCCCTGCGAATACCCTCTAAGCTGCTTAGTGCGAAACCACGGGATCCCCGTTTAGGAATTCTTCCGCGTCTTCGCTAATCCTACTCGGCGCGACCTGATTGCGGAGCTGGGAGGTGAAACCCTCTCGCTACAGAGCATGGTAGAGGCCATGCGGAGGCTACTTGAAAATATTATTAAACATAACTTCGACAAATATGGCATAAAAACTACCAAATGTAATTGGAATACCATCAGACTCACCCTTTTTGAAGTTATACTTCTTTAGGCGCGTTATGAAAAAATGATGAGAGTGAAATTTTAAGATGCGCGCGCATCACTGTAACACAAAATATTAACAGCATGAAGTTGGTCGCTTTAACTTGTTACTTTTGTGTTTACCGCACATTAAGAAAATCTACCAACAAAATAGAAATAGAATCTCTATTTAGTGGGTGCTAATGACTGCATTGTGAAGGCCTATCAAAAGTATTTATTAATCTGGAACAACGGAACCAAAGCGCGATTCAGGAGACTACAGCGCCATCTCTTGACCATTGGTGTAGTAGAACCAAAAACCACATCTTTATTTTTTGTAATAAAGTAACAGTTATAGGTATTCATATTTATAATATTTATCCACATGTTTCTAGTTTGTATATTCGGAATACGTGTTTGAGTTTCATACAAGTGCAAATCACATATGTTCTAATAAATTATATTCAGTAGCGATTTTAATTGAATATTTTGATTATTTATTTATTTTTTCAAATTAAAACTGAACTTTATTGACTGTGTCCTTTTCCAGACTTTTTATTAATTTATTGTAATTAATTATTTGCATGCAATTAAAAACTAATTTTAAACGATGCCAAAGAAGGATAACTTCTCACGCGCCTACATAAGTACACGCACCCATTTTTTTTTTTTTTGTTCTGTGGCTGTTTCCGTTTCACACAGAAATTTCGCCAATATCCCGTAGTGAGAGAGACACGGTAAGGGAGAGATTGCTCGGTAATTACCAGAAAAAAAAAATATTTTATCCGAATAACCCTTCTTCCTTGAGCTTTTATTTTTGTTCTTCTGAAAGCATGCACGCAAAGACAACACAGGTTTAAATTATATAAAGTGTAGGCAATTTGATCGGTAGAGAAAAAAAAAAGTTTAGTTATATTTAGAGAGGATACTAACGTTATAGTTTTATATTATATTTTTTTATATATTTACATAAACAATAAAAGCCAGGCTTGTCAGAAACTGTTAAAATAGTGTTAAGGTTAACGGGACGCTGAGTTTTGGGCGGAAGTAGAGGATATAGAGACGGGTGTTTCTGACAGTTAAAGAAAATGTGGTCTGTGGTGCCTTCTTCAAGACCGCATTCGCAGATAGAGTTATCTTAAATTCTTATCTTTGCGAGAAAAACTGGAGAAGTAACATGGCCAAGACGGAGACGACTAATCGTTGTAATAACTCGTCGGGGAAAGTCGCGAAATTTGGCGAACCACGGTTTTCTCGGTATTGTTACCTGGAGGCGGCCATAATGGCGGCCTATAATTTTGGAGTTGCGGCTCCATCTCGTCTCCCATTCAGACTGAAGGTCAGTTTTAGCTGATTGAAGAACATCTGTAGAGTAGTTTTGTAGACGAGAAGGGTTACCCGAATTTGTAGCGTCTTTGGCCCAAGTGTCAGCAATTTCATTGTCAACAATTC